ACCTCTGCAAATGCCAAGGTCATGGCGAAGGGCAGGGCGTTCAGGGCCCTGCTGGCTGCACCCAGGCTGGGGGGTCGCTCCGGAGGGCGTCTCTGAGGGACGAGGGACGTGAAAACATTATAGACTCGTAAGGGCTTTCTTTTTAGTACAGTTGGTCCTCGTAGGGGGGAGAGAGGCTGCAGGTGGAGTCCCTTTATTTATTTATTTTTAAATGTTTTATTTATTTTTAAGAGACAGGGCACACAAGCAGGGAGGGGCAGAGAGAGAGGGGGACAGAGGATCCAAGCAGGCTCCGCGTCGACAGCAGAGAGCCTGATGTGGGCTCAAACGCACAAACCTTGAGATCATGACCTGAAGTCATGGGTCTTAGCCGCTAAGCCGACTGAGCCACCCAGGCGCCCCAGGTGGAGTCCCTTTTAAACACTGTTTTAAGCCTCTGTGTCCCAAGTCTTCTGACCGAATTGCTGGATCTGAGTGAGAGGCAGGGATTTGTACGCATTTCCCCATTTTCTTGCCCCAGGCTGGCCTCTGCGGGGGCACAGAAAACAAGGAACTGTCCCCAGGCTGGTCTAAGCCCCTGAGCAAGTACTGCCCCGGGCAGGAGGACTGCCTGGGCAAATGGCCGGTCCTGGTCTAGAGCTGCTGTCACTGGGTTTGGGGACCACCGCCGTCCAGGTCTGGGGTTATGGCGGAGACCTGAGGCTATAGTGCAGGTGGCAGGCGGTGACCCAGACTCTGGAGTGTGGGGGAGGAGTGTTTAAACGTGACTGCTCTCTGTGACCTCATCCCCTGCTTTCACATGGGTCCCCGATGTCACATCTCTTCGTGACACTTCGATGAGCAAACTCCACGTCAGCATGTTATCTTTAAAACTGTTGGGAAGGTGCCACTTTTGGTGACATCCCACCCCACCCCCCACTTCCCAGTAATGGTTAATTTTAGGTTTGGTTACATTTTCTATTAAAAAAAAATTTTTTTTTAACATATATTCATTTTTGAGAGAGAAACAGAGCCCAAGTGAGAGAGGGGCAGAGAGAGAAGGAGACACAGAATCGGGAGCGGGCTCCAGGCTCCGAGCTGTAGCCCAGAGCCCGACGCGGGGCTCGAACTCACGGGCCGTGAGATCATGACCTGAGCCGAAGTCGGTGCTCAACCGACTGAGCCACCCAGGGGCCCCGAGGTTGGGTTACATTTTCAATGAAGTTGTTGGGAAGGAAAGACCCTTCTCTTCCCCTCTCCTCCCTCCTCACCGTCCTCCCTCCTCCCCTCCACCCTGTATTTGTAGAGCCCAGTTTTAGGAGCCCGAGATAAGCGGTGAGCGACAGGCAAAGCCTTCCTCCCAGGGAGCTTGCATGGAGGGAAGTTGGCCCAGAAAGAAAGGACATAAAAATAAACCAGGTAATTCGGGTTGGGATCAGTGTTACCAACTATGCACTCAGGGTGCCTGATGAGAGGGCAGCGGAGGCCCCCTTGCGGGAAAACTGAACGGGGAGGATGGGCCATGCAAAGGTCTGGGTGAGCGTGCCAGGTGCAGGCCGACCTTGGGAAGGAGCTGGCAATCTGCAGATCCTAAAAAAGACCCAGAAGCCCCCTGTGCTGGCGCCTGAGGGAGGCAGGGAAGGAGAGGCCTGAAAGGCGGACTGCGAGGGAGCGCGCTTTCAGGGCGCACCAGGCAATCGTTTTAGAGTATTAAGCAGTGGTCACAGGAGCACTTTTAAAGGCCCCCCAACCCCCTCCCACCGGCCCCTAGGTGAGGATGGGTCATATGTGGAGAGGAGGAGAGAGGCGCTGAGCTTGGCTTTGCTCTGCTGACCTGGCGCCTGTGGGCCAGTCCCTTATCCACCCCAGGACCTTAGGCTTCGCTCTGCCCGGCATGGCTGAGCTCGCCCGCCGGGCTCCCAGCAGCCTGGATGCACATGGTTCTGCGGTGCTTACCTGACCTTTAAGCCACCTGTCCTCCCTGCCCTCCTGGCCAGCCTGGCCACCCATCCTGTCACAGCTCTGCTCATTCTAGACTCCAGATTGTCATCCTTTTGAAACTTTTAATGTTAAATATTAATATTAAGTTTTAATAATAAAAATCTCCAATATAAAGGAAAATGAAAAGGACAGTATACTCAATTGTTATTAGCATTTTGCCATTTTTATTTGTACTCGCTCTGTCTATAAAGAAGGTGGGTTTTTTTTTTTTGAGTCATTCTAAGGGTGTAGATATTATTATATTTTATTATAAACACTATAGCATACATCTCTCAAGAATAAAAACATTCTTGGGGCTCCGGGTGGTTCAGTCGGTTAAGCGTCTGACTTTGGCCCAGGTCAGGATCGCATGGTCCATGAGTTCGAGCCCCACGTGGGGCTCTGTGCTGATGGCTCAGAGCTTGGAGCCTGCTTCGGATTCTGTGTCTGTCTCTCTCTCTGCCCCTCCCCCACTCACGCTCTGTCTGTCTCTCTCTCTCTCTCAAAAAAAAAGAATACCAGCATTCTTAATGTAACAAAAACTTTCTTTTTTTTTAAGTTTATTTATTTTGAGAGAGAATATGCACGTGTGCATGCGTGCTTATGTGAGTCAGGGAGGGGCAGAGACATAGGGAGAGAGAAAGAATACCAAGCAGGCCCCTCACTGTCAACACAGAGCCCCGACGTGGGGTTTGATCTCATGAACTGTGAGATTATGATGGGAGCCAAAATCAAGAGTCTGATGCTTAACCAACTGAGCTTAACCAAGTGGGCCCCTAAAGTCTTTCCGAACGTAGTAAAAATATATTCTAAATGTAATAAAAATGTCTATTTTTTTTTATTATGTAGTAGACAATGGAAGATTATTTAGCTGTAAAAGAAGGAAATCTGCCGTTTTGACAACGTGGGTTGGACCTTGTAGACATCATACTAGGTAAAAGAAGTGAGACAAAGACAAATATTATATGATCTCAATTATATGTGAAATCTAAAAAAAAAAAAAAAAAAAAAAAAAAAAAAAAAAAAAAAAAAGAATTTCTAGATGCGGAGAACAGAGTGGTGGTTGCCAGGGGTAGGGGTGGGGGAAATGGGTGAAGGGGTCCAAAGGTGCAAACTTCCAGTCATGAGATAAGTAAGCTCTAAGGCACGGAACTCACAGCACGGTGACTATAATTAACAACACCGGGGCGCCTGGGTGGCGCAGTTGGTTAAGCGTCCGGCTTCAGCCAGGTCACGTTCTCGCGGTCCGTGAGTTCGAGCCCCGCGTCGGGCTCTGGGCTGATGGCTCAGAGCCTGGAGCCTGTTTCCGATTCTGTGTCTCCCTCTCTCTCTGCCCCTCCCCCGTTCATGCTCTGTCTCTCTCTGTCCCAAAAATAAATAAACGTTGAAAAAAAAATTTAATTAACAACACCGTCTTGTGCGTTTGAAAGTTGATAAGAGAGCAGATCTCAAAAATTCTCATCACACGTACACACAAAGGGTAGCTATGTGTGAAGTGAGGTCTGTTCACCAAACTTATTGCGGGTATCGTTTCGCAGTAAATACATGTGTCAAATCGTTATGTCGTACGCCTTCAGTGAATACGATGTTATATGCCAATACAACCAGAAGAAAAAAAAAGAACAAAAACATTCCTCTACTTGGCTGTAATCCAGAAAATGGACAACGATTCCCCCCACGGCATCTTACAGGCAGCTCCTATCAAGTTTCTCTAATTAGCCCCCAAATGTGCTCTTGGCACGTTTGAACTGGAATCCAGCCAAGGGTCACGTATTACATTTGGGTTGTCTCTTTAGTGTCCTTTAGTGTAGAATATCCCCCACTATGCCACTTTTTGCTCGGATATTGACTTTTTGAAGAACTACACCAGTTGTGGTGGAGTGTCGTAGAATGTTGTCAGATGGTTTGTTAAGATTATTTCCTTGTGGTGTCAGTTAATCTGTTCCGTCAGCTGTATTTCCTGTAACCTGGAAATTAGGTCCAGAGGCATGATGAGATTCAGGTTCAATGCTCTTGATAAGAATCCTTGATGATATCAACTTCACATACTTCACAACTTCACATTGGGAGACCCACACGGCCAGTTGCGACATTAAGTGTAATCACGTTCCTTGAGGGCAAGAAAATGGTTAGACTTCTTTTATATTTCTCCACAGTGTCTAAAAAAGAAGGCTGGGCATCCAGTATTGTGTAGCAGATACAGCCGATTCTTGTCACTGGCAATAGTTACTCTATAAAGTCACCGCGAACGCTGGATCGCGGAATACCGAACCATTGCTTCTAGGGGATCTGCAGAGTTAGACTCCTGTGAGCCTCTGGTTACATTTTTGCCAACAGATCACTACAGAACCTTGTTTTGCCCTTGTGTGTTTCTGTTTAAAGACGTCTTGTGTACTGTGGTTTTTGATTCGTTAACACGGAGCTCATGGCAGACCGCACCTTAACTCGTTCCTGAATGAAGCTTGTCGAACACTTGTATTTGCTCCATGAGGCACATCACAGCCTTTTTGCACTTGGGAGCGGTAGGCAGCCCTTCAGTCTTACTCTTGGGGACCATTTGACAGAGCAAAATCACCAACAGAAAGCACAGAAATGCCAAAACTGTAGCACTCAATGGACGGTGGAAAGGAAGGCACTCGCTTGCAGTACGAGAGCCACACCAAGGAGGCCGCCTTCTTCAGCCTCAGCTAGGGATGTGCGTGTTGCAAAACACAAAGTTTTGGAGCACCTTGGAATGTCCACGAGTGACCGCTTAAGAGCCACAGGTATTGATTTTAGAGATACAAATTTTAGTGACTGGATGAATGCAAAGTGTGGGATAAACAGGATCAACAGGATCCACTAAATATTCTGGATGAAGACAATTTGAATTAGCTGTGTGACCTTGAATTAGTTGCACGACCCTTTCTGAGCTTCATTTTCCTCAGCTGGTCTTGGAGCTTTTCCCAGCCCTGGGATCCTGGGGACTAGGTGGGAATCGAGTTTCTCTCGGTTTGGCTTTCTGGGGATAGACGGACCCCATCACCTTTCTTTCTGTGCAGGTTTGTGGATTTCCATGCAGCTGCCTCCACCTGCTCCCCCTCCAGGGCCTCCCTGCTCACCGGACGGCTCGGCCTTCGCAATGGAGTCACGCACAACTTTGCGGTCACTTCCGTGGGGGGTCTTCCGCTCAATGAGACCACCTTGGCTGAGGTGCTGCGGCAAGCTGGCTATGTCACTGGGATGATAGGTAACCCTGGAGCTCCGCAGCCGGGACCCCCACCTCCCATAGCACTTATGGGGTGCCCGCTTTGTGTTTGGGTAGCCCCAACGTGCCACCACCCTCTTCTGTTCATGTCTGCTTTTTGTTGATTTCCTGCTGTCAATGTTAGGAAGGCTCTCAGCTATAAGTAACTGAAGAGATCTAACAGGGAACCAAAACCATCAATGGAGTGGTTTTCCTCCCATTGTAACAACTTAGAGGCGAGTGATTGCTTTCATTGGCTGCGCGGCTCAAGGAAACCATTTCTGTTTTTTCTGCTCTTTTTGTCCTCCCGCTTGTTGCCTCTTGGTTGCGACAGAGCTGCTCAGTACCATTCGCCATAATTTGGCCTCAAGGAAGGAGAAACAGACGGGAGGAGGTGCCAGCCTCCCGTGGCCTCCTGTATTCACTTCTCCTGAGAGAGCGAATCTGTTCTCAGACATTCCCCCTCCCTCCGGGCAGAAACGCACTTAAATCTCCTCGGTGGATTTCTACGGCCACACCTTGCCGCAGGGAAGGCTGGGAAAACTGGGGTTAGGATTACAATGATCGACTTGGCTTTGGGCACGGGTCTCCGATCCCCTGAACAAAACCGAAGTTCTGTTAGCAGGACAAGTGGGGGCATGGGTGTAAGGTAGGCAAACAGCGGCATCTGCCACGCCTTCCAGTGGCTTCCTTTCTCAAATTTCTGGAGGCACCTCTTACTCAACATGTGCTACACGCCAGGTAGTGAGCTAAGTTTTTCTTTGCATCAGGGTAGGGAGATCCCTTGTGAGATGATAATTTCCCCCAGGATGTATGTTCGAAGATTGACTTTCAGACGGGTGGAGAGACCTGTTCAGTGTCGCCCACCCTGTGGCGGGAGGATCTAGACAGGTGTCTCCGCCCAGCCTCCCTCCGATGCTTTGCTCCACCGCTGGCCTTCCCTCCAGAGGCCAAGGCAACGCAGCAGTCCCAACAGCACCCGTAGGCTGCCTGTGCTTGTTGTTCTGACTTTCCAAGAGCTGGGTCCACTGGGATTCCTGCCTCCCTTCTTACACGACGTGGCAAGGGAGGGTTTCCAACAAACAGGATGGCGGCGAGGGTCCCTGTGGGGGTGTTCTTGATGCCTGGAGCGCCCGTGTTAACCTGTAGGAGGCTCCGGTTTCTGGTATCGGCCCCACCTTCTCCTCTGGATCGAGGAGCCCCACATACTTTTACAGAAGGTCAGACTGGAGCCTGGCATTCATTGGCCCAGGCGGGCGAGCCCCAGGGGGAGGGGCTACGAACTAAGATCTCTCCTTTTCCAACCCTTCCTGCCCGTACCCGGGAGGTATAATTACCCTGAAGCTCCCACGAGGGGCTGAGTATCCTTATTGGCCCCATCACACGCATCCCTGTCGTGGTCACAGCCTGGAAGGGTTTGGCCCCTGGGAGTCGGCTGGGCTGTACCTGAGCTGGGTTTGCTGTGGCTTGCCCTTCCCTCTTCATGCCCTTGAACTCCCCGTGAGCCACTGATTGCACATTAACTCTCCCTTCCCCATCCGGTCTACCTTTTGCGTCTTAGAGACTGGATATTCGGCCACGTTGTGTTGTGATTATGAGTTCCCTGTAAGCATGCTTGTGGGAAAAACAAAACACCCACCGAAGCGATCTCAAGACCGTGGGCACCACTCACACTTTGCTTCTAACCTTGGTTTAGGGTCTTGTATACATACGACTAGGTCCTCCTTTTAACCCCTTCCTCATATCTTATATTTCTTCTTTTGACATTTTTTTAAAGTTGTATTTATTTTGAGAGAGAGAGAGAGAGAGTACCAAGCAGGCTCCTCATTGTGAGCCCAATGCGGGGCTTGAACCCACGAACCACAAGATCATGACCTGAACTGAAGTCGGACTCTTAACCGACTGAGCCACCCAGGGGCCCCTTGTTTTATATCTCTGTGTAATACAATTTTACCTATTTATTAGAATTTTAATGATCTTAGAAATAGCTTAAACATTTTACTTATATATTTTTTAATTTTTCTTAGTGCTTATTTTTGAGGGAGAGAGAGAGAGAGACAGAGCATGAGCAGGGGAAGGGCAGAAAGAGAGAGGGAGACACAGAATGTGAAGCAGGCTCCAGGCTCTGAGCTGTCAGCACAGAGCCCGACGCGGGGCTCGAACTCACAAACGGCGAGATCATGACGGGAGCCAAAGTCGGAGGCTTAACCGACTGAGCCACCTTATTTTATAAGGTGCCCCTTATTTTATAGTTCTGTGTAATACATTTTATCTATTTATTAGAATTTTAATAATCTTAGAAACAGCTTAAACATTTTAATATAATTTTGGATTTCCACGTGATGCTTAATCCAAGCCTTCCACATGAGTGCTTAACCCATTTCCCCTCTATCTTATGTTACATTTTTTTTTTCAAACCCACAGAGCAGTTGCAAAAAGGGAATAATAGACACCCCTGTACCCTTTACCTAGATTCCCTGGTTATTACCTTTTGCTGCATGCATTTGTCTCTAAAAGAGAGTTTGGTAGTATTTCATCGAGGCCTTGCAAAGTAACTTGCTTCAGCCACAGTCCTGTGGTTGCCTGTTTCTTTCTTTCCCTTGGGCATCATTCAGAGCTGCCGCTGTTAAGATCTGTGTACTGCGTTCTCTGCCCCTTGCCTCGTGGCTGGTTTCCCTGGGATCCCTGCTTCTCAAAGCGGAATTAGCAGGTCAGAAAGCTCAAACGTGGTCAGAGTTTTTGCCGCACATCACCCAGTCATTCTCCCCAAAGAAACGCATTTACAGAGTGAGGCGCAGCCGTGAATTTTAACTTCCTCCTTTGCTGTCCAGGTGAGGGTCTCTTCACTGGGGCAGCAGCAGGCCGGGGTGGGGAGTGGGGAGGTGGTCCCTGTGCAGGCTCCGTGGGCTGCTGATGTTGGTCAGAGAGCATGATGAAACCAGGAGGGAACCAGGCATCTCCAAGTCTATCTGGAGCGCACACCTGTCCTCCGAGCTTTGGCAGGGGCCCCAGCGCAGGAGGGTAGAGCAGGTGCAGTGGGCTACATGGGGTCGCTGTGGGCACTGAATGCTCTTAGAGGAGCAGAAGCTCAGCCTGCTGGCTTCTCTGGGCCCTTGGGAAAGGCTTGTCTTCCTTTTCACTCTGTGCTTTCCTGGGTAGAACCTGACTCATCCTGGCTCCCTCTCAGTCCCAGAGAGCGAGGCTTGGCTTTCACACAGCATTTACAGCCTCTCTTTGCTCGTCCTCAGGAAAGGACAGCACTGATGGGGAACTGAGTATGTGATCAGCTCCCCAAAGGCGCTGGGAGCCCCCACGGGGATTCGTCTGAAAGTCTCTCTCTTGCTTTCCTACAGGCAAATGGCATCTCGGGCACCATGGATCTTACCACCCCAACTTCCGCGGTAAGAATTCTTTGGGGAATTTGTTACCTGGGAAACAGGAAGTAAAGATCTTGGTGTAAAAGGATTCCATTAACATTTAAGCCATCCTGCGCCTGGGGTACACCTCTCCCGAGTTAGGACATCTTTATTCACAGGGTCACTTAGGTGCATTTGGGGGACCCAGGGCTCCCCTTGGTGTCATGCCCTTCTCGCGTGGCATCTTTCCTGGACACCCCCCTCTTTGGTGTCTGTTTGCCCTTTCTGGTCTTCCCATCGTGAGCCCATCCGTGGCCACGTCTCAGGGCACATTTGGCCCCGTGAGGTCCAGACATGTCCAGTGTCATAGCAAGTACAAATTGTCCCGAGGGTTCACAGAAGCAGATCATCCACCCAAACGGGAGATGCTCTCTCTGGCCTTCTTCCTGCAGCCGTTCACCGCCTCAGATTTCCGACGCTCGGGGCCTTGGAGAATAGGCCAAGATCGAGCTGCCTGAGCCAACGATCTGAAAGTCAGTGTGCTGATGGATAAGCTCTCTGAATGTCCAATTCACCGAATTTTCGATGGCTTTCCAAAGTTGTGGTTTTTGCCTCTGCTCTCCCCCTGACCTGCCTCTTCCATTTCATATGAGAGTCCTCCTCGGACTTTCTCTTCAAGGCAGTTGATCATTACGTCAACTTCCATGGCTTCTCCCCTGTCGCTACTTGGCATGCGCTTCTCTGCTACCCTGCTATTGGAGAAACAAATGGATGGCTTTCTCCTTGAACACGGTTCTCTATTTTGTAGACTTCTCCCCTCCTCCGTCCCAATGCCTCCCTCTATTTCCATGCAATGTTCTCTCCTAGACATGGGGGAACATGTGTGTCTGAAGATCTTTGCGTTTGGAGAATGGCTTTCAGAGAACCAGCCTGCAACCAGCCTTCAGCCTCGGGCTCCCGCTGGGAGAGCACCCTCTCCAACTCCCTCCTCCTCTCCGGTGCTCCTTCCTCCCCCTCTCTTCCCTTGTGCCCCATTTTCCAGCTGGGCTGCCGTGGCATCTTCTACATGTGCTTTTTAAGAACGGCAGGTGAAGGAAGTGTGGACCTGGCTTTTCCACTGACTAAAAATTAGTGCAGAACTTACTTTTCCCACTTGGTCGTTCTTCCTCCTTGACAAGTGAGGAGGTTGAACCAGATCAGGGTGTCGACACCTTGAGTGCGTATTTCTGGAGTTCCTGTGATGAGGGATACTGAGAGTGGATCTTGCTCGGCAGGAAGTGGTGCCATCTTGGATTCGTGGCGTCTGCCATTGGGACTGAGAAGCGAGAGCACCTGCCATATACTTGTGCCCCTGGACCAGATAGTCTGGAAAGGCCTGCCGACTTGGGCATTCTGAGGTGCCTTGTTTCCCATCTCCAGGTTTACTCATATCGCCTCCTGCTTCTTGTATCTCTTCCCTGGTACCCTGTCCTCGTTCTCCATTCCCCGCATCCCAACCTCTTACAGTTTCATCTATATATCTTGCTTCCCCTTCAGTCTCTTGAGGGCAGTCTCTTTTCTTCCTTGAAGTACCATGCATGTTCTTGATTTTCATCAAATGCTTACTGAGTGTGTTCATAACTGCCCCGGGATGGTAGGTGTTCAATAATTCTCTCCACTTCCTCCCACTCTGGGTTAACTCTAATCCCAAGATGTTTTGCAAATCTAGTCTTACAGCCAGAACCCAGCAAAGAGTTTTCTTTGCATACTACAAAGGGATATTAATCAAATCCTCTTTTAATTATATACTCCACAGCACTGCAGTATTAAATCATGGAAAATTAAATTTTTGTCCTGGGTGTAAGAATGCAGGCTCACAGCACAGAAGCCAAGTGGGGGTGCTCACCGATTGCTTCTCTTCCAGGTTTTGATTACTACTTTGGAATCCCATACAGCCACGACATGGGCTGCACCGATACCCCGGGCTACAACCACCCTCCTTGTCCAGCGTGTCCACGGGGGGACGGGGACGGACCGTCAAGGTAATCCGATCCAAGGAACAGAGAGTGGGCTCCAGAGCAAGGTGAAGTCCTAAGGGTGTAGTCCCCCAGGAGGGGGCGGGGAAGGGAAGCCTTAGCTGGCTCATGAATAACACGGTAGTTAACATAATAATGGCCGTTTATTGAGAAATTGTCACGGGCTCTGGAAGCCGTGGGACCACTGCGTGCGGTGGGTATTTATCTTGACCTTGCAAGTAAGGAAACCAGTGAAGGTACAGGGAAGTGCCCGCTTGCCCAGGTCACCCCGGAGCTGTAAGAGGTAGAGACACGGGTTCCCCGTCTGGGTCCCTCTGAGTCTAGACCCTACTCGCTGCACGAAGGGTGGTCGCTGGCCCAGCAGCGTGGCAGTCATCCGGGTGCCTGTTAGAAAAGCAGAATTTCAGACGCCCACCCCTCCATCCCAGGCCTCCCTTTTCGCAAGACGCCAGGTGGCTTCGTGTGCACGTCGCAGGGGGAGAAGTGAAGTGTGATATGTCTTGTCGCTGCCCTCCTTACCAGCTGCGGCTTGGGGGGCACATCTGTGGTCACACTTGGTATGACATGTCAGCCAGGCCCCTTTAAATCCGTGTTAAAGGGGCGCCTGGGTGGCGCAGTCGGTTAAGCGTCCGACTTCAGCCAGGTCACGATCTCGCGGTCCGTGAGTTCGAGCCCTGCGTCGGGCTCTGGGCTGATGGCTCGGAGCCTGGAGCCTGTTTCCGATTCTGTGTCTCCCTCTCTCTCTGCCCCTCCCCCGTTCATGCTCTGTCTCTCTCTGTCCCAAAAATAAATAAAAACGTTGAAAAAATAAATAAATAAATCCATGTTAAATCGAATAGAAAAGAAAAGGGGGGGGTGGCTTAGTGGGAGATGGGGGGGGGGGAAGGGAGATATTTTAGCTGATGGTGGAGTTGCCACAAGGTCATAAAAACCTAAAACACGTGACACCAACGATGGGGTTAGCATGAGGATGCCCAGTAGAGTCATAACCTTTTCCTCTTTTTCACAGACTGTGGCCTTGACGATTATTGACCCCAGTCTCACCTTGTCCCCCAAGCTTTTGTAAGGGGGGGCGGGGTTTGCATCAAAGTGTGATGAGGGATTTTCGTCTCTTTCCGATGCTTATCTGCACCACGAGGACAGAGTTCCTCCCGGAGATGGCTCTCAGTACCCTTTCTCTCTCCACGTTTCTCGGCTTCTCTCCTGGTCCCCTGGCGGCCAGGGCAGAGGGCCTCGGTGTTTATGGAGTTGCTAGTATGCCGTACAACGTGCAAAGTGCTAACCATTTGTTGTCTTGTTTGGCCCTTTCAGAGGGCAGGGGCGCGCTGCAGGTGAGGAGTCGGGCTCTGAGAGCTTAGGTGGGGGCGCCTGGGGTTTAGTCAACTAAGCTCCCGACTCTTGATTTCGGCTCAGGTCATGATCTCCCAGTTCATGAGTTTGAGCCCCTCGCCTGGCTCTGCACTGACAGGGCGGAGCCTGCTTGGGATTTTCTGTCTCTCCCTCTCTCTCTGCCCCTCCCCTGCTCCCTCAAAAAAAAAAAAAAA